CACTACGTCCAAAGTCAGACATCTGTTACGAAGCACCGAATCTTCACCGAACCCAGTTTTCTCTGCGCCATCAAAGCGTCAGACTTGGCTCCCAACAGTGTGACTAGACCTAGAGCTTCGTCCACTCATCGACTTTCTTCTTTAGTAACAGCTTACGCATCCACCGCAGACGTTCAGACGCACAATTTCGATGCTCTTTCTCCGCAACGACGTCGTATACAAGTACACCTATGACCCTAGCGCTGAAACTGATTTGTTGGTGGTGTCATTTACAATTCAAGATCCTTAGTGCGTGACACAACGAACCGACTTCTGGACATCTTGGGTTCACACGTACTCTCGCACGTATTTGCCACAAATACTACTGGCCTAAAATCTCCCGCACTGTCAAGCACTATGGTAAAGCTTGCCGAGACTGCCAACTGCGCAAAACTCCGCCCATGAAATCTGCTAGTTTTCTACACCTCATTGAACCCTCATGGGCGCCTTTTCAGCAAGTTGGATAGACTTGGTCTATTTTCCAAATCTTCAAGTGGTGATCCTTGGATAGCAGTTGCAACAGATTATTGAACACGTTACTGCAAAATGTGACCACTTCCAAGAGTCACCGATAGTGATGGTTCCAACTTCTTCATTCATGCTGTTGTACTTTCTCATGGCGCACTGGCAGTGGCTATAACTGACAGAGGTACCACCGCCTTCACCACCCAACTGCTAGAAGAAGGGCTGACACTTAACGGCACTGTTCACCGCCAGACGACAGCATACCATCCGCAATCCGAAGGCCTCACTGAACAGCTCAACCAAAGCATTGCTGACATGTTGTCCATGTATGTGGACGTGGATCACAAAAATTGGGACGGCGTTCTACCATTCGTAACATTCGCATATAACACCACCATCCAGGAGACTACAGCCACGAGGTTATCACATTGTTAGACGTCATGCTGCTACCTGAACCATTTGTGACCACTACATGAAATGCTGCCAAGTATGCTCAGTGCGCTGAAGCTCACCAGGTAGGCAGGTTACACATCCGCACTCAGCAACAATCTGACGCTCACCGATACAACCTTTCTCATAGAGGGTTGACGTACGAACCTGGAAAAAAAGTATCGATATGGACTCCCATCCGCCAACGTGGCAAGTCTGAGAAACTTCTCTGCCATTACTTCGGATCCTACAGAGTTTGCAACTCCTCAGCAATGTCCACTACCGAGTTATTTTTGAGACCAGCACATGATCTCCTCATGCACCACAACCGTGCGTAGTCCACGTATCTAGGATAAAGCCATATCACTCACGCTGAATGCTTCCCCTTGTTTTTACAACTTCAAAAGCATCTAAACGATGCTCTTTGAGAGGGGGAGTAATGACACAAACATACAATGATTCCTTGTCTGTTGTGCAAGGCAGTTTGCAATTTGTGCGTGGCGGAGCTTTTTTTTTCTAGTGGAGGAGGCCAAAGACGTTTGGCTCGATTGTAACTGACATGCTGATAGCCGGGATATTATTGACTTCCATTTTTATTACCGTGACAATATGTATTTTGAATGCAGTGAATGTAAGGTATCAGCTTCCTTTCTCTTGGCAATAAATGGCTCACAAATGTAGTGAACTAGTTTCTTTTTGCAGAAACTATCGCAACAGAAACACACAACAAGGGTCACGTGTAGATTAGTTGTCCATAACCACCATTGTGTGGAATGAGAAAAAACTGAGAATAAAAAACGCCAGGGTCACAATGGGGTTCGAAGCCAGGTCCCCTTTGTGCCAGCGCATTGTTCTACAGTTGCGTGAAGTATTTCCAAGTGACTTTGTCGCGTACCGCAAAGATAAACCAAGCCATGGGGGTGGCGTATTTTTACTAGTGCGAAGTTCTTTGAAATCTGCTGCCCTCAACATTCAGTGTGATATTGAATCTGTTTGGTGCACGATTACCCTAGATGATAATTCTTCATTCGCTGTAGGTGCATTTTATCGACCCCCAAACTCGGACTACAAAACACTTCAGTTGTTAAATGAGATTATCTCGGAAGTTTCAAACCGAACATTCCTTCTTGCTGGTGATTTTAATTTGCCAGACTTAGAATGGCATGATGGAATATGCGTACGAGGCACTGGGTGCCGCGCAAACATAGAAATGAAAAATATAATAGACAACTACGGCCTTACCCAGTTTGTTACTTGCCCAACTAGAAATAATAACCTTCCTGACCTTGTGTTCTCAAATTCACCCAGTTTGGTGAATAATGTCAATGTTATTCCAGGAATCAGCGACCACATGGCTGTTGTTGCAGAAATCAAAAAAGAATGTAAAAACACCTCATATAGTGCGGCAAGAAAGGTTTTTCTGTTCAGTAGGGGTGACTACACAAGAATAGTCGAAAAGCTAGAAGATTATTTGCCCGTGTTTGAATGCCTAGCTGAACACTACAGTGTGAATGATTTATGGCTTAGCTTTAAGGACAAGTTGTTAGCACTCGTAGATAAGTATATACCTGCGAAACAAGCCGGAAAGCTTCGTAAACGCAAGAAGCCATGGATGACGTCCGGTATTTTAGATTAATCCGGAAAAGGCGACGGGTTTTCGGTAAATTAAAGAAATCTGGAAGCAGTGACCACGTGGAAGAATTACAAGCATTAACGGAGCAGTATAAATCATGTGTGGAAAGCGCAAAAACGAAATATTTCGAAGGGCTCAGCAATAAAATGAAAACTAATTCAAAGTGTTTCTGGCATTATATCAAAGAGTGTGGGTCTTATCATGTTGGAGTGGCTGAACTAAACTTTAATAATATGGTTGTAGTTGATGAGGAAGCAAAAGCTACCTGTTTAAACAAATATTTCCAGTCTGTGTTCTTGCCCAAGCTTGACGTTCCTTCAAAACCACACCCAACCACGATTCCGCCGATGCCACCGGTAGAACTGGGTGTCCGTGGCATGTGTTCTCTTCTAGAAAACCAAGATGAATCCAAAGCAGTTGGTCCTGATGGCATCTCTCCTCGTATTCTAAAGCGATGTGCACTGCCAATTTCCCTTTACCTTTATATAATTTATTCAAAATCACTTTCAACGGGAACTCTACCCGAAGATTGGAAAATTTCTCATGTTGTTCCGGTTCATAAGGGTGGCTCAAAAAAAGATGTAACAAATTACCGACCCATTTAAATGCATTGACGTCAGTGGCATGCAAAATTTTCGAGCACATTTTATCCAAGCACATATTGACCCATCTTACTGCTAATAATGTATTAATAAATGAGCAGCACGGTTTTCGTAAAGGTTTTTCTTGTACGACGCAACTTGTAGAGTTCTTTCACGAGCTGGCTTCCAACGTTGATGAAGGTGGGCAAACAGATTGTGTATTTTTAGATTTTCGAAAGGCCTTTGACACCGTGTCACACTCCCTTCTCCTGGCTAAATTACAGACTCTAAATTTCGACCCAAATGTGTTCATCTGGATAACCAATTACTTGCTGAACAGGCGTCAGTGCGTTCTTTTTAATGGGAAGTGTTCATCCTATGTTAACGTTACATCAGGCGTGCCCCAAGGCTCTGTCCTTGGGCCTCTCTTATTTCTTATTTTTGTAAATGATATTTCTGTGGGTATTTCGTCGCGCATGCATTTATTTGCCGACGATTGTGTGTTATATCGACAGGTTCAGAACGAAGGTGACTGTGCTTATTTGCAGAACGATTTGGATTGTATTGTACAGTGGTGCCAGAAATGGCAAATGATGCTAAACCCCAAAAAGTGCAATCATATGCGTGTTTCCAAAAAAAAAAGAAACCAATAGTAACGGCGTACACCATAGATACGCATACTGTTATTACCGAACCAACATGCAAATATCTTGGCGTTGTTTTGTCGTATGACTGCTTATGGAATGCCAATGTTGATCACGTTGCTGGCAAAGCGGCAAGGGCTCTAAACTTCATTCAGAGGAACCTAAGATTGGCACCCCGAACATTAAAAAATACAGCCTATCTCACATGTATTAGACCGATTTTGGAATACGCATGTCCTGTGTGGGACCCGATGCAGGCGAACTTGATTGATAAGCTTGAAAAAATATAAAACAGAGCTGCGCGGTTTGTTTTAGGGCGGTACGAGCGGAGAGACAGCTGCAGTATTATGAAAGCTGAATTGGGTTGGGAATTGCTTTCTTTACACAGGAAAAAACTGCGTTTGAAGTTTCTCTTTTCTGTTTTTCATGGGCGGACTGGCATTGACCGTCATAACTATTTCAGTGAACCCAGTTACATATCTAGTCGACATGGCCACCGACGCAAAGTGAAAGAGTATCGTGCAAGAACGACCATGTTTTATAATTCCTTTTTTGTGATGACCATTAGAGATTGGAACCGGCTGCAAGACAAGCAAGTGTGTTGTATAAACGAAGAATTGTTTTATTCCAGTCTGTAACCCCCCTGCTGTAACGCCTTTTTGAGCAAAGCGGGGCACTCACCGAATAAAGAATAAAGAATTGAGCTAAGTCGGTGTTTGGAACTCCGTTCAAACTTACCCTAGGCAAGCTTGATGTCTGGAAAGTAATCCTGTTAGTATGACTAACAAAGTTTTTAGAGCAGCAAGGAACAATCAGGCATCAAACAATAGGGATTGCGTGTCGAGTGTATAGTCAAATGCTCCAACCCATTACTAAAGCTTCAAGCTTCTTCGCGTCTTCGAAGAATGACGAAGGGTGGTATAGTGGATGCCTCCATACAACACAAAAGTTATGGTGACTTATGGCATTGTGGGTACCCTGCAAGTGCGCTTATATCAGTTGCCCAAAAAGTGTGTAGAAGGGGCTCTGAAAGGCCTGCTCTTCAAGGTTTCACCGTAGCTGTGCTGCACGTTCCGCGTAGGCCCGGCGTTTTTTTTTTTATGCTAGGCTGAAAGTAGGTAATTGTAGAAGCCCTAGTGTGCCTCTTATTTTACGTGTTCCAGGCCTTGACCGTACACTCATTGTACTTTTGCTGTGGCTTCTTTGAAGGCTAAGGACAAGTATGGAATCTCAGCTTTACTAGCAGCTATCTGGGAAGGCCACACTGCCTGTGTCAAGCTCATGGTTGAGAAGGTGAGCATCCCCTTCCCCCCTTTGTTTTATTTGCTTTGCACACTTTTAAATGCAGATGCATTTCTTAGTCAGGGCATGTCAGGCACCCTATCGGTGTCAGCTCATTGGCAGGTGTTATCTCTCTGCTCTCACTAACTCAGCTCTGGGCGCACGCACTTATCCTCGCTCTTAGCTACCGCACCAGGTGGTGCGGACGGAGTAGCAGAGAGTCAGTAAAGAGGAGGAGCGTGCTCTGGTGTGTGAAGGTGCTCGCATCGCGGGAGCTCAGCGGAGCTTCCGCGTGTGTGGAGGCAGTGTAGGAAAGGGTAAATGCAGTGCTTCACCGCTCCTTTTCTTGCCGTTCGCTCTCTGTCCTCCCTGCGCCCCACTCTCCCGTCTGCTTGCACATACGTATATATAAATGAATTGAAGCCTGTATTTCTCTCTCGACCATTCGTTGGCTGATGATTGTGTAAATAAGTGGTTACGGTGCAAATCCTCGTCTCATCATTAATTTAGGCCATCAAAATAACTATGCTGTGCCTAGGCGAAAGAAATGCCTTTGCATTTCCTCACGATTTCCTTCAGGAGGGGGGGGGGGGCAATTTTTTTGTAGCAGCCTCACACAGTACTATAGTGTCAGGAATGCATTGATTGCACAGCCTTTTTATGCGCATATTTTTTTGCATGGCTGATGTTTTGTCTTTCTCGTAGTTTAAAAATTTTGTTCATCAGTTCACGGATCTTTATCACTTCAATTATTTAATGTGATTCCCTGGGAAACTTGTCTTGCTCAGTAATGGGAAAATAAGCACATTGTGAAGTTGACGTCCCTAAGCCTACGTGTGACAGCACCATTATTCTATCTTCTTTCCTTATCTCTCCCTTTATTGTAACCTCTATAATATCCAGGCTTCTGCAGCTCACTGGGGGCAGCTTTAAAACGTAGTGGGGAAAGGTTGCTGACAAGTGTGATGCGCGCTCAAACAATCAAGTAATGTGTGCTATTCTCTTCGACCCTTGCAGCCAAGATCAAACAAGTCTTACACTATTTTCATTCCATTTACCCTCAAGGCCATATGACATTATAAAGGGTTATAAGTAGACAAGAAATAATATACAGCTTGAAAATAAGCTTGTCAACAAACAAGAACTCCTCATTATATAATGTTAGCTGCATAAGGACTACGACCTCAATAAATATGATCAAATGTAATAATGAATACTATAATACATTGTACACTTTCTAATTAGACAAATTTAGAAAAATGCGTGACATAAAAGATTGTTATTAGTAATAGTTACTATGTCCTCGAGTAGGTCCTTTTAATCTGCTGATTTATGAGATATGAATGATCGATAAAAATACTGGGAGTTGCATAATCTGATGCCAACCTTATGACGGTGGTCAGTACGATGGGATATGTACTGAGGATTGAGGATTGGTTGGTACTATGAAGTGTGGGATGATGGAATAATTTGTGAAATGTGGCCAGACGTGATATTTTATGACGGGATGCAAGTGAAGGGAGGCCTAGGTTGAATTTCATTGAGGTCATACTGGCAATGCAGTTATATTTGGACAGTATGAAATGGATGGAGTTACCGCATTTACTCGATTCTACCGCACCCTCGATTGTAACGCGCACCCGATTTCCACCACGGAAAAAAAAAAACGTAAGACATCGATTGCAACGAGCACCCATTTTTCTCGTTGGCCCGCACGATCACACCACTCGAAAAAACGACTCCTTTCGGGAGCGTCTTCCATTTAAATATGAGGTACGGGCGAAGCTTGTGCCCATCTGACGTGTAACAGAGCATTGCCGTCACTGTAGTTTTACCGTGGACCGATGTCAGCACGCGAACTTGCTTCGCCCTCTTCTTCTCGACGGTTGTGGTGCCAGGCATGTCGAAGTAAAGAGGCGTCTGATCGGCATTCCCGATTTGCCCAAGCAGGTAGCCGTTGTTGCGCCGCAAGTTTAGGACGAACCTCTGAAAACTGTGAAGCTTTTCATCGTACTCCTCTGCAAAACTTTTCGCTTATGCATGTTCCCCTTCGGAGGGAAACGTCCTTTCCTTCTTCATAAAGTTAGTTAGCCAGCACCTGCTCGCTTTAAACTGGCTCCGCATTAGACCTTTTTCTAAGACCAATTGCATAGCCCGCACTTGGAGCAGTTCTGTCGTCACGGGCCGCTGTGCCGCTCACTGCTCAAGCACATACTCGCCGAGCAGCTCTTTAATTTGCGGAAACCGACCCTGCTGTGGTCCACTGAAGCCTTTGCGTGAAGCTTTGCTGTCGACAATCTTCTGCTTTTGTTCCCGCCGGTCCCACACGCACGTTTCGGGAACTCCGAATGACCGCGATGCGGCCCGATTTCCGTCCGTTTCTGCACACGCGATGACTTTTCTTTTAAAAGCGGCATCGTGGTGCACTTGAGTTTTTGGAGTCGGCCCTTCCACGCCGTCGATGCTAATGCACTACTAGATGACGAACTTCTCAGCACACGAACGAAGTGCCGCACATGGGAAACACATAGACAGAAATGGCCAACACGCCATGCCGACGCACGTAGGGCGCGGCCATTTTGGATTTGCCGATGGCAATAGATTGATCGTAGTATTTTTGTTCGTACTCGACTCTAACGGGCATACGATTTATGAACTCGCTTAACCGGAAAAAAGGTGCGCGTTAGATTCGAGTAATTATGGTATTCTGTACAAGTTCTAGTGAAGCCATTCAGTTATCGTGGTAAGGATCCCACTCAGAAGAGGCCCACTCGAGTTTGGATCTTATTGATGTTTTATATAAAAGCAGTTTTAGTGTTGGGGTGCTTTTGGAAAGTTACGGCATATGTAGCCTAACATACAATAGTGCATTATTAGTATGTATGCGTTGTGTGGGGCCCAAATAGGTGCGCCGTGATAAGAACACCCGAGTATTTATATCAGTTGACTTGGATCTAGCAGAGCGTTGTTTAAGTAGTGTGTTAGTGGGGGCTTTGGGTGATCTTGTTAAGCGCATTACCTTACATTTTCCATTCCATTCGCCAAGCTTGCTACGGTGTTAAGATTCGATTGAAGGAATGAAATTTCATTATCACTGGTTATTTCAGGAAAAATGACGCAATCATCTGCAAAAAGATGGATTTTAGAAGAAGTAGAATGCGTGATATCGTTAATATAAATAAGAAACAGAAGCGGACCAAGGACCGACCCTTGCGATACATCCTGAGTGAACCGCGGCAGATGGCGAATTGTGATTGTTAGCAGTAACGTACTGAATTTTGTTACATAAAAAAAACTCAGTCCACTTGAGTGAATTATTGTCAATGTTTAGTAGATTCAATTTGAATAGTAGTAATTGGTGACAGAGTTTGGGGAAAGCCCTACTAAAGTCTAAGAAAATACAGTCAGCGCATGATGAACAGTTCAAAATCTGATGCAGTTTGTGAGTGAATGATATAAGTTGTGTCTAGCATGAAAAATGTATACAAAAGCCATGTTGTGCAGGTGCAAAAAAAGTCGGATTCATGAAAGTTAATGAGGTTGGTGAAAATTACATGTTCTAACAGCTTACAGGAAGTGCTCGTTAGAGAAGTAGGATGATTATTATTCAGAGTGTTTATTACTCGACTTAAATTCGCACCAGCCCCCTGATTTTACATTGCGTAGGAATGGTTGATGTACCTAAGGATGGTTGAACGATCTTTGTCAGTTTCAGTGAACTGTAACAGTTCATCATCATCATCATCAGCCTGACTACGTCCACTGCAGGACAAAGGCCTCTCCCATGTTCCGCCAGTTCACTCGGTCCTGTGCTTTCTGCTGCCAATTCATAGCCGCAAACTTCTTAATGTCATCTGCCCAGCTAACCTTCTGTCTCCCCCTAGCCCGCTTGCCTTCTCTGGGAATCCAGTTAGTTACCCTTATTGACCAGGGGTATCCTGTCTAAGCGCTACATGCCCGGCCCATTTTCATTTCCTCTTCTTGATTTCAACTATGATATCCTTAACCCCCGTTTGTTCTCTAATCCACTCAGCTCTCTTCTTGTCTCTTAAGGTTACACCTACCATTTTTCTTTCCATTGCCCGCTGCGTCGCCCTCAATTTAAGCTGAACCCTCTTTGTAAACCTCCAAGTTTCTGCTCCGTAGCTAAGTACCGGCAAGATACAGCTGTTATATACCTTCCTCTTGAGGGATAGTGGCAAACTACCTGTCATAATTTGAGAGTGCTTGCCGAATGTGCTCCACCCCATTCTTATTCTTCTAGTTACTTCGATCTCGTGGTTCGGCTCTGCGGTTATTATCTGCCCGGAGTAGACATAGTCTTTTACAACTTGAAGTGGACTATTACCTATCTCGAAGCGCTGCTCTCTTCCGAGGTGGTTGTACTTTCATTTTCTGCAGATTAATTTTAAGATCCACCTTTCTGCTCTCCTTATCTAACTCCGTAATCATGAGTTGCAATTCATCCCCTGAGTTACTCAGCGATGAAATGTCATCGGCGAAGTGCAGGTTACTAAGGTACTCTCCATTAACTCTTATCCCTAACTGTTCCCACTCTAGGCCTCTCAAAACCTCCTGTAAGCACGCGGTAAATAGCATTGGGGAGATTGTATCCCCCTGCCTTACACCCTTCTTGATTGGTATTCTGTTGCTTTCTTTATGAAGCACTATGGTAGCAGTTGATCACCTGTAGGTTTCTTCCAGGATGTTTATATATGCTTCGACGCCCTGATTCTGCAGTGTCTCCATGCCTGCTGATATTTCTACTGAATAAAACGCCTTCTCATAGTCTATGAAGGCGATGCATAGTGGTTGGCTATATTCTGAGCATTGATAGTATGAATGTGGTTGATCGTTGAGTAGCCTGTTCGAAATCTGTTCTGTTGGTTGATTGAATTCTAATGTTTTCTTAACTCTGTTAGCAAAAACAAACAGAGTTAAGAAAACATTAGAATTCAATCAACCAACGGAACAAGCAGGATTTTTAACAGGCTAGCAGTTACAGCTAACCG